ATATTTGCACTGGGAATCAAACTCAGTACCTTGCACTTGCAAGGCAGGTGGCAGCACCACTGAGCTAAATCTCCAGCCCTCCAATGATCATTCTTAATGTTTCTTCCTCTTCCTCTCTTGTGAACCTCTGTTTCTTTTTCTAATTCTACCATGAGACATAATCTTAGAAGGATCTTTGAAGCAGTGGTTGGCGACTTAGATAAAATTATAACAAACTGGAAACTCTAAAATTTTAATAGGGACCAAGGACAGCCAGACACTCAAAATCAAAATAGGTATCAAAAGGAAAAATAGAAAAAATTTTCTGGCTGGCTACCTACTATTCTTGTTTAGGCAAGTTTATTTGGAAATCTGATTATATTTTAGTTTAATAAACTAGACAGTTTACTCTTGGAAAACTGGTGGTCTAAACTGGTGGGAGCTGCAGAGTTCCTGCCTTTGTGAGAAGCAGCATTGTTCAAAGATAGGGTAGAGAGGAAAATAAGCAAACTTGGGCTCCCCAAAGAGCCTAATCACATAACTAACTTAGCATAACTTTCAAGGCTGCCAGGGAAACTATTTGAAAATCTTGCCAGTGAACAGATCCTGCTGCTACCAGAGGTCTTTCAAAGGCTGGCGTCTGGGCTCTGTGACTGCCATCTAGAAAGGGCTGCCGGATGTGATGCTTATCTCTGATGATGCTGTGCCCATTACCAGGCTATTTGGACTGTGATGACTGTGGCCTCAATTGATGACGAAAACCTACCTTGTGGTTTCACTTCTGAATTAGATTCTCTCAAGCTGTCCTTTGTATTTATTTACCATTCTGATCTAACTTCGCATATGTTTTCTCTGTGCTTTGAACTAAGGTCTCACCACAAAATGGGAAACAAAAGTAAAAATCTAGCTTTTTGTGAACTTAGAGCTAGTAAATCCCATATATAAGGAAATATTTTCTTGTAAAAATATTGTTTTCTGAAAGCTCTTTTATCAATGATAGATACTTATATTTGTTTTATTCAGAAATTTCTTTTAATTTACCTTCACAAAATAGCTCCTAGACATAGTTTAAGGCATGAAGAAACCCTCTCCTACCACTCAAGGTTCCCATCTACATTCGAGTTGACACAGTCCCTTATGAAGAGGGTCATGGAGCTAACAGAAGGGCCCATACTGCTGTTTTAGGAAAATGTTTGCTCTTAGGTACCTTATCTAGCTAAGAAATCTGCCTTTTCTGCATTTCCAGTCAGCGCTTTCTGTCACCAGTGGAGGGCCTTGTAGGCAATTGCCATGGTATAGATCTAGAATATCCCCCAGAGGTCTCGGTTTCAGAAGCAGAGCTCTGTAAAGGTGACTAGATGATAAAGGTGTTATAGTTATTGGTGGATTACTCCATTGGTGAATTCATACCTGACAGAAAGTTACTCAGAAGAACGGCTCAACCAAAGCAGGCAAATCACTGGGAGTGTGACCTGGAAGGGTGTATTCCTATCATACCTAACTCATTCTTTTGCTCTTTGCTTTCTAAGCACAATGCTATGAGGAGAATTCTTCTGCTCTGCCATTCTGCCATGCTCTTTGTTCCTTGAAACGGGACAGTCTTGGACTGAACTCAATGAAACTGTAAGTCTAAATGAACCTTTCCTTTAGGTTGGATAATTTGTTCCAGAGATGGAAAGCAAGCAACAGACAACTTAATTCAATTCCTTCTTACATAATTGAGGGATATTAACAGGCTATTAGAACAGCTGATCCAAATAACCCAACATTATAAAATGAATTTGAAAATTAGAAGATAATTTAAAAATTGTAGTTGGTATACAAGAAGAAATTTGCAAAATAAGAATCAAATGCTATGAACAAGTAATATTCAGAGACCACGAAAATGAATTTTGAAATTATGCATAACATAGGCACACAGATAAAAATTTGGCAGAATGCAAAAAACAAAAGAGATGAAACATTAGTTACATAATAAACCAGCAGGTAGGAAATATCATTAGCAAAATATTTTAAAATATACAGGATAACATTTTACCATAAGTATTTAAATCACTCATGATCGAAGAGAAGAAATCTTCAGATTCTAAGATTCTCCAGTAGCCTGAAGAATAAATGAAAGAAAAGCCATATGAAATTTCAGAACATAAAGATAAAAAATGTTATCAAAGTAATATAATGTGTTGCCCCTAATGGTACAAGTATTCTACTGACACTAGAATCGGATATCTGACATGGTAAGTTTGAAGATAAACTAGTGTATTCTGAATTTTGATGGAAAGTAACTCTGTGCCAACATTTCCAACCATTTATCGTTAAAAATAAAAGTGAGAAAAAAATAACTAAAATTATTTTAATTGAAATATATAAACATTTATAGAGTACCATGTGATGTTTTCTACATGTGTACACTATATAATGTTCAAATCATATTATACATACCCATCTCCTCAAACATGTGTAATTTCTTTGTGATAAAAGCTTTCAAACTTTTCATCTATGTTTTAGAGATATACAGCCTGCTATGTAAAAGCACATCAGAATTTCTTACTGCTAGTTCATTGTAACTTAGAATTTGTCGTATTAATCCATAATTTGTTTTATATTTTAAATAGGATTATTGAGTGCAAAAACATTGTGTACAGTTGTTTTTTTTTGTTTTTGTTGTTTTGTTTTTGTTTCTATTTTAGGTTGGGGCATTACTGGAGATTACACTGGGGCCTCACACTGAGCTACATCTTTAATTTTTTTTTGGTAAAGTCTTGATAAGTTGCTAAATTGCCCAAACTTGGCTCAAACTTATAATCTTTCTCCTTTAGCTTCCCAGAGTGCTGAGATTTAGGTGGGAACCACCATGCTGAGTTTAGCACAATTTAAATCCCTCTAAGGTAAAACTACAAGAAGTTACAGGGAATGTTTAAATCTGAGAATTAGGCCTCGACAATGAGGTAGAAGAAGATGATGTATGGTGGTTTGGTTTAATTACATATAAAACACATAATATAATGTTCAGTACAAAAAGCACTGAATCTTCGTTGACATCATGGTATTATCATTTTTTAAAGTGTTGCCTTGATTACTCACTGACCCTCAGGGTCATAGCTCCTTGAACTAGGGATAACACCTTTTCAACTAGCACACAGCATAGTTGTGAAGAAGAAATGATTAGTGTGTAAAGGCTTTTACTGCAACTTAAGCATTATTCAAAGACAAATTTTAATATGACATTTCATTTTATGAGAATTGTTAAATGTAATATTTTTCTGACCTCATGAAGATCATTGGGAGCTATTTGAATTTGGAGGGAAGTTAAAGTGCTTTGAAGTGCTATTACTTACCCAAAGCCTGCATTTGTGAAAATCTTTACTTTTAGATAAGACTTAAGAGAAGATAGTCACACTCCTGCTACCATTTTCTTTTTTTTTTCCTTTTTTGTTTTTTTTATCTGCAATCACCAAGCAGTTTAAATGGATATGGTGGATTCAAATGAATTTTTAATATTTTCTTAAGTGCTGAAATAATTTGATGTCCTAAGAGAACTTGAGTACTATCCTTTTCTGTGCAATAAATTCCTAAATTATTTGAAGGGTTATTTGGGGGCACTTCCTGGATTCTGAAAGTAAGGCAGGTTAAGTTGTCCAGTGAACAGTGAAAGGCTTGATATCCCAGTTCTACATACGGATGACAGCCTTCTTTACTAAAGCCTGACAACCAATTTCTCTACTGACAGTTGTATTCTTTGAGAACTCAAAGGTTCTTATATTGAAGATTTTAACACGATTCCCATTAGTACTGACCTAGAAGCTGCTGTTTCCCCAATTTCCTATTGTTATGCACTTAAGAGGACACCAGTACATTTCAGTACACATCTCTGTGGCTTTCAGATTATGAGTTGATGAAAATTTCAGATGCACTCTTTATTATCGAAAGAGTTCCAATGATACATTACTCTGTCATCAGAACTCAGTTTCCTTGTAAGTATAATGCCTGGCAACTGAATGTTTTTCCTTTGGATATCTCCAAGTGTAAATGCACATTTCAATAAGAGGCAGAATAAAATATATAAACTTTTTATATTAAAGTGTAATCAGAATATACTTTAGCTACTATACATTGTTCATATCTAGGAATATATTTGCCTGTAAATGATTTTTAATGAAAGTGTAAGATTAAATCAAAATGGACTAAGGCTTACATATAAAAACAGAAACACTCCCTCTACTGAAAGATGAATTTGGTAAAACAGTTTAGGACACAGGCATAGGTAAGGACTTTCTCAACAGAATCCTACTTGTGCAAGATATACTATCAAAAATCACAAACAGAATTATATCAAATTAAAAACTTCTCTACAGCAAACTACAGAGTGAAAGGAAAATCTACAAAATGGAAAACAATTCTGCCAGCCATTCTTCAGATGATTAATATCTAGACTATAGAAAGCACTCAAAACAATTAGACTGCAAAATAAAAGACCCAAGCAAAAAGTGGGAAATTGAAATGAGTAGACAGGTCACAAAATAAGTACAAATGACCAATACCTACATGATAAAATATTTAACATTTTTGGCCATAAAATGCAAATCAAAACAGCACTGAGATTCTATTATTCCGGTAATTTATCACGGACTCAATAAACAATACTGTGAGATTGTGGGGAAAAAGAAACCCCTCTGTATTGCTGATGGGAATGTAAACTAGTAAAACCACTATGGAAATCAATGTGCTGCTGGAAATGTGACTTAATCCATCTCTACCTCTTCTGGGCATCTTCCTGAAAGGGATAAAGTCATTATATTACAGTGATACACGTGTACCCTTGTAAGCATTCAGCAGCACAAATTCATAACAGGAGAATCTTGGAAGCAGCCTATACGTCCATCATATAATATAATAATTATTATATACCACAAATATATATTAACAATAAAAACATATATGTTCAGAACATTTTTAAAAATTAAAAATTTAAACTTCCAGCAAATAAAATAAGCGAAAAAAGGAAGCTTACCTATACACTACAATATATGGTTTTGCCAAATCTTTTGAATCTCCATCTACATAAATCACAAAATCTATAATATATGAAAACCAAACTATGCAACAATAGATTTCCTTAACACACAGGTAGATTGGGTCTCACAAGTGTCAAGCAATTTTTCCTTAGTTAGTTTCCTTGGTTCTAGGTAGAATTCCTAACCTTTTAACAAGTAATTTAAACTAGAATTTTCCTCTTGTTAGGAGGAAATAATTTTTGTGAACAATTATACAATTAAATAAGTCTAAGAAGAAATTTATATCTTATACTTATCTGCTATTACTTTTTTATTATGCTTCTTAATTTTCAAACTGAAATAAAAACACCCTTACTTTGGGGATCAAGGTGATGCTTGCTTGCAGGAATAAATTAGGGAGCATTGTTTCCTTTTCAATTTCAATAAAGAATTTAAACAGGAGTGGCAATAGTTCCTCTCTAAATGTCTTGTAGAATTCAGCAGTGAAGCCAGCAGGACCTGGACTTATCTTAGTTGGTAAGTTTTTAGTTATGTTTTCAATTTCATCGATTAATATTGGGTCATTTAGAATTTTTAGGTCATTTTTGTTCAAATTTGGCAATTCATTCCTATCTAGGAATCTGTCCATTTCTTCTGTATTTTCCATCTTATTGGCATATAGGTTGTTGAAGTAGGTATTGATGATCCTCTGGATTTCCGCTGGTTCTATTGTGATTTCACCCTTTTCATTCCTAATTGCATGGATTTGGACTTCTTCCCTTTTTTGATAAGATTGGCTAAGGGTTTGTCAATTTTGTTTATTCTGTTGAAGAACCAACTCTTGGCTTCATTGATTTTTTTGTATTGTTCTCTTAGTCTCCATTGCATTGATTTCTGCTCTGATCTTTATAGTTTCCTGCCTTGTATGAGATTTGGATTTGTCCTTCTCTTCTTTTTCTAGAAGCTTGAGGTTCAGCATCAAGTTATTTAGTTGAACTCACTCTTTTCCTAATATGAGTATTCACTGCTATGAATTTCCCTCATAAGACTATTTTCATTATGGCCTAAGCCCACAGAAATATCTAATGCAAGTTTGTATCAAGGATCTACACTGGCCCAAAGGCCAGTGGTGGAAACCAGAAAACCTGCACCAGTGGGGTAAAAGAATTCTGACACCAGACTGAGGGATCTATATTGGAATCAGAAAGTCATGCTTAAGGTGAAGATCAGAACTCTGCTGAGGGGAATAGCAGCCATTCCCAGTGACAGCAAGGACCCAAGTTCCTCCTCCTCCAAGAACAGCCAAGTTTGCATGAGTTAAATCAACCTCAGCAAGCTTCTCTTAGAAAATCAACAGTCAATGATTTTCCCTTCCAGTTCTCTTTTTATGCCATTGGCAACAATCCTCAGGTGGGTCTTCCATGCCTAAACCATGCCGATTCAGTTCAGCAGGGGATTACAAATTGACCATTAGTTAATCTACCATACTAACTTCTAGAGTCTATCAGAATTAAACAATGTAACATAGTTAAAACCTTTAGCATAAGGGCTGGAAAAGAATGAAGACATGAAATTCTCAAGAGCTTATAATTCCCTTACGAATGGTAGTCTTTGATCTAGTATTATTGT